CCGTCTTGTTTTCTGTAGTTGCATATGGTTTAGAGAGGATGAATAAAGAAGTGTCTGAGTGGATGAGAGGTCTGCATGAGAACGACAATGCTCCCAAAATGCCTTTCATTGCCACTAGGGGCTATGATAGTGTTGTTTGGAATCGTTTATACTCAAGAGATGCACCAGATTTGGTGGACTATCAAGCTAAACAGGTAACTATACTGATGACATTGTAATACTATTCTGTAAGTAATACAAAGATCATATGAGGCATTAATAGAGAAGATTGATTTGTGTCTTGATTTGTAATAATTAGCAGACTTTAAGGCTTGGAATTGGAAAGCCAAATTTCAGTCTAAGTTCACAGTTGTTTCTTAAATTATGTCTGATTGTTCTGTGCATCCTTAGCAGACAAATTATGTCCAAAACTAAATTTGATTTCCAGGTAAGTTCCATTCTTGACGAGACACTGCAAGCAGTTGGTGCTAAATCAATGGTGGTCGGGCATACTCCTCAAACTACAGGTGTAAATTGGTAAGAGGAGAAATCTCTTCAAATATGGTTAAAATAACCTGAAGTTGTTTAAAATCTCAATAATTAGTATCATACTATACTTGAGTTTTAACTTAAGTTGAAAATACAATATTTAAGTCTTCTTGTGCATTGTGGATGGAATAGTTCTATTCTATTTATTGAAACTAGTTCTTTGATTCTTGCAGTAAATACAATTGTAGCATATGGCGTATAGATGTTGGAATGTCCAGTGGAGTTCTTAATTCAAGACCAGAGGTAAAGCAAATCCGTGACCATAATGTAATTATTCAACATTTATATAAAAAAAATGATGTTGTTGAGTCAATAGGATTTAAATACTTTGGTTATGTACTAAATATTATTAGAGATAGTCACATTCTTTTCAAGCTTTCTTCTGGACTTCCACGCAGCTCACTGCCCTCAGTTCATGAAGTAAATTCAGTTTATTATGTAGACAGTTCCTGTTTCTTTATAATCATTATCGACATAACTGTAAAGAGTTCATATTTTCCAGGTTCTAGAAATTATAGATAATCAAGCAAGAGTTATAAGGTGCAAAAGGGACCGACACAGTGAACTTCAAGCTGCTGCATATACTTAAGGGCCAAAAAAATGATTTTACAGGTATATTGATTAAAAGTTGATTGATGGTTGTGTTACTTAGTTGAAATGTTGGAAGTAATTGTTACTCATAGACAATATACTTTGGAAGTTGAAAAATTCTACCAAATAATGGTTCCCTCCGGCTATTAAATTTATATATAGTTAATGTTTGATTCCATATACTCTTGACGAGAAGATGCTGTAAAAGTTAAATATTATGTATAGTTCATTTTGCCCTGATATTTGTTAATTGTTTTTCTATCTTGAAATGTAACTTTAAGCTGTTATAATCAATATTTCCGAACTTGTTTTGAACATTCTTATAGGTGTGGTTCAATTTCATGTCTTGAAAATGATGTATTTCGCACATTAGTGATTTAATTAGTAGTAAGTAATAGCAAAGTTTTCATTGATAAATTTCTGCTGTGCTTTTGCAGGAGGTAACATTGACAAATTTATCCTATTCCTGCCACTTATTAGTTGTTTGATTCCCATAGGCCATGTGAAGACAGGATCAGTATACCAATTTTGGCAACCAAAAAAATCCTCAGAGAAATTCCAAGCCAGATATTGATATGTTTGCAGTGAGATGTAATGTTTGTGAATGGCTTGAAGAAAGGTGAAAATAGCATCTACAAAAGGGAAAGAAGGAAAAAGGAGAGGATAAAATAATCCAAATACTGTACATTGTACTTCTAAATGAGTTGAATTATCACCGATTACATTAACCACTCAACGTATGCATGTTCTCTAACTAATAATATTTGTTCTCATTTCACACTCTTATGACTAACCTGTTAAAGTAGTTGGTATCTATTCGGAGTTCATGAGTATAAGTTGTTGGATGTTCATACACCAAATCAAAAACATTCAAATAAATCAATGACTGTTTACTGTAAGCATTTATTGCTTTTTTTAAGTGTTTTGTTAGGAATCTAGATAAGAATCCTAACTTTCTAATTCACTCGCACATCTAAGTAAAACTCACAACAAGAAATGATAATGAATTGAACTGTATTCACATCAAAGAATCAAGAATACAATTAGAAAAATCTAGGAGTTTAATCTCTTTCACCAAGTCTGAACCAGTCTACAAACTCAAAAGTAAAAACTGTCTACTTGTAACTACAAAAGAGGTCCTTTTTATAGACTTTTTTCCACCCCCTTAACTGCTCAACAGAGTACTCATCTTTATTTCTCTACTATCTTTCTCCTTTCATAAACCCTCAAGGTCCTAACATTACTCCCCTCTTGAAGATCAACCTTGTCCCAAGGTTGAACTCTGGAAAATGCTTTGGCATTGTTATCTTGTCTTCCCAAGTTGACTATCCTCCCCTCCTGCTTGCCATTCAACTAGAACCTGCTTCCGCCTGTCCTCCCCTTGCTGTTGGATCCTTCTATCCAATACCTTGGTTGGCCAGCAAGATGGCCCCTCCATCCGCAAATCCGCTGGCCGAAACAGCCGATAGCTCCATTCGTTGTGGCTCCGCTTCGACCTCCTCCTCTTCATCTTCCGCTAATAACACTACCCGTAAACTCTTCTCAGGGCATTGGTGCCCAGGGCTGAAGGCCCCCCCACATCTAAAACACCTCCCTTCTTTCCTTCGTTGCAGAAATTCTGGGTAGGGAAGGTTTCGCGAGTTCCTTCCTCTACTTTCACTTCCCACAGGACTTCCTCCTCTCGCCGAACTACTCCCTGCCGCGCTGTCTTGTCTCACTGATTCGACACTCTCAGTTGCAGCATTTCTCCCTGGGTTACTCCTAGCCAGTTCGGTTCTCACTACAACCGCTCCTCCTCCCGTCGTTCGACCCCACGATTGGAAATTCTTGGGCGCTGTCCACCCACTCAGACCTAACCCGCGTAGCGCCTCTTCAACCTCCCGTGCGATTTTCATTGCCGCCATCAGATTTCGCGGACCGTGTGGCCGTATTTGGCACCGCAGTTCCTCTCTTAGGCCCGCCAGAAAATACCCCAATAGCTGGTCGTTCGAAAACGCCTTCGTCTGTCCGACCAGCGCTTTGAAATCTCGCACGTATTCCTCCACGGTGCCCGTTTGACTTATCGCCGCCATCCTCTCAAAAATGCCCCCTCGATTACGACTCTCAAACCTGATCAACAAAGCCTCCTTGAGCCCCTCCCACGAGCGGTCGCTCGCTTTCTCTTTCCAGAACTTAAACCAGTAGCCGGCGCTTCCTTCCATGCTAAGATATACCAGTTTGACCTTCTCTGCCTCTGCTACTTTCTGAATTTCAAAGAACTTTTCTGCTCGATTAATCCAATTCAGAGGGTCCGGTCCTTCAAAGGTGGGTAACTCTACCTTTCGCCGCCAATTGAGTTGCCCCTCCGCTCGTTCCCCATCTCTCTCTCTCTCCACCTCGTCCCTCCGTTGGCCATTAACTGACCCCTGACTCCCGTCGGAGTTCTCTTCCATCTGTTTGGTTTGCGCACCCATGATCCTCATCGGTTCTTGGATATCTTTGCGCATCGCAATCGAATCTTGACAATTCGCCGCTGATTCCGCCTTCAAACCGTCCACGGTCATTTCAATATGCTCCAACCGTCCTTCCACCCCGTTCATTCTTCCTTCAATTCGGTTCTCCAACGCATGCAACTTTCCTTCCATCTTGTTCTTCCTCCGTCTGGGATCCGGCAGGTCGGACCACTTTGTTAGGAATCTAGGTAAGAATCCTAACTTTCTAATTCACTCGCACACCTTAATAAAACTCACAACAAGAAATGGTAATGAATTGAACTGTATTCACATCAAAAAATCAAGAATACAACTAGGAAAATCTAGGAGTTTAACCTCCTTCACCAGGTCTGAACCGGTCTTAACTGCTCAACAGTTAAGTATTCATTTTTATTTCTCTATTATCTTTCTCCTTTCATAAATCCTCCAGGTCCTAACATGTTTCTTAGAATTGATATTTAAGAATTGAAAACTCAATTTTTGCACGGAAATATATGTGAAACTGATTTGAATGATATGTGGGATTGATTTCAATACCAAATCAAATGTATCTGTGCATCGTACAGTTTAGTTTTATCTCAATAGGTTATTAGTCAAGTCAATGATTTACTACACAAGAATAACTAGTTCTCAAATTTAGAAGGACAAGGAAGCATGAATTAGTCTGATCTATTTCATTAAGATAATGCATATTATAATAATTAATTAATATATATCCAGACTTAAATAGACGGAGAAACGATAGTCCTTACAAAATATTGTGTATATAATAATTTTGCATTATATATTGGGCATTCATTTTAACATCCGTTCTCCTGTTATATATCTGAATCGCAACATTCACGACTGCATAACATTAAGATTATAACAATAAATTAATTCCACATTCTTAAACTTATTAACCTAACATGATACTCTTATTTTTATCTCCATTTTCCTTTTACTTTTTAAGTTTCAAAATTCAAATAATCTATTGAAAATAATATCACCGACTTCGCATCCAGCTTCTTGAACAACCTTTGGCAAGAATAACCACGAAAACTGTCCTGCATATTTATCGTCAAACGCTCCTAGTAGGAGAAACACATAATCCACACAGATTAATGCCCAAACCTACCAGACTGATCAACCGAGGAACAACTAAAGTGGAATGGATAGATAACAAATGATAGTATAAGCCAGGAAATGAAATCCCTAAATTTCAGAATATCATAAAATTGAGCACAATTAAAACTTACAATTGCATGAAACTAAGGCAAAAATTTCATGTGGTGTACAAGCGTTTCAATGGAACAACGTTCTGAGAAAAAACCTAAACCAGAGGAAAAATCATAATTGAAACTGAAAATGTGTACACGACAACAAGTTCTCCATTCGTAGGTTAATCTGAAGCTTCTGTATAATGAGTTCTCCATTCGTAGGTTAATCTGAAGCTTCTGTATTTGGGGTTTGAACGCAGAACTTAAAATGCTTGATTGCTTTCACCCCGTTTGTGGCATTTTATCGGTGTTGACAGACACAATCATTTATAATGGAACCGAAGAATGATGAATATTCTAACTCTGATATTTAGGTAACAGTGCCAACGTCTTTCTGCTGATTGAAATCTTGGAAAAAGGACTTTCCAGCTTCATATGTAGACCAGCAAATAGCAGCTGCCGGAGCATGAAAGAGCATCCTTGGAATCCATCCTCGCATGAGCCCTCTATACCCATCTTTTTTCACTATTGTTTTAATAACGTCCTGAATTGATCCACTTTTGAACCTATCGCAACCACAGACACCCTACAACATTAACCACGTCAAGTTACTATCCAAGAAAAGGAAATATTAAAAAAATTGTTTGATTACCCCTGATTCACCGTCTTCCCAAAAGCTTATCAAATCAAATTCATATAATAAAATTGTTACACAATCTTCCAGCTAAAGTATTGACTTAATTAGCACCATATCACACCACAATAACAACAATAATAGTAATAATAAAAATCATGACATTAGTGCAGAAACCTCAATTCAATTTGAAAAATACTTATGTTTGAAATTATCACGATCCTCTGATGTGAATGGTCTTTTAAACCTAAAATAATCCCCATATAAACAATGAAAAGATGGTATAATAATCCCCACATCAATTTAAAAGGATCCGATCAACGCATGACCCTGCTTGCTCCTCAATCTACATATGATTGTACAGAATCATAGAATGAACTCATCCCATTTTAAGAGCAAAAAGTGCAACAAGTTTTGAATGAAACATGCGGAGAAATTCCAACCAAACATTGTCATCGGTCACTAGCTCCGCCATTGTCAGAATAACTCCAATTGAACACTGTTTTTGTCTGATTAAAGCTCTATATTTCATGGGCTCAAGTGATTGGGTGGATGGCATATAGGTTCAGATGTTGGTTGATGATTGTTATATTCTATTAAAGAAGCATATGTTAACAAATTAGATGGCAGTGTACAACTACCATAAGTATAGCTATTTAAAATTTTATCATTTTAACAATAAATCTGTCCTTAATTAGAATACACTAGTGACCTACTGGCATCCACTTTCATTTTTTTTTCTATTTAGACAGAGGAAGATAATTCATCATCCAGAAAGTGGTCAAGTACAATGAAGTCAAGGATAACAAATAATAAATCCTGCAGAACATAAAAGACTTAGAAAGTGAACTAAGAATGCAGCAAGGCTGCCCAAACTCTCTGAAGTCCTAAGCCAATAGACCCACGAGCACAACACAACTCACTGTGGAACACCTGATGCCAGCATTTTGAGCAGTGTCCCATTACTCACCAAGTCCCTACCCTTATTAGGGTAGGGCCTTGGCGAACTAAGAATGCAGCAAGGCTTCCCAAACTCTCTGCAGTCCTAAGCAAAGAGACCCAAGAGCACAACACAACTCATTATGGACCACCTGAGGCAGCATTTTGTGCGCAGTGTCCCATTACTCACCAATCCCCTACTCTAAGGTGTGTTGACACATGAATCAACATCCTCATTTTACTTTCTAAACAACGAAAGTCTTAATTACAGTTAAACTACTTAGCGCAAAATGTTCTACCACAGTTTTCTAAAGTTATTCTCTACCTATTTTAACCGGACTACTTTCAAGTGGATTGAATTATCCCAAAGAAGCACAAAGAACACACCACAAAACTTAAAATACAGAAACATAAGCCATCATTACTATCCCATACTAGTACAGATGGAAATAAAGGAAATCTAATACAAAACCTAAGCCTCGTTCAAATGTGATTATCACACTCTGGTTTGATCTAAATATTTCTATCCACTTAATTTCCACGCCACAGCCACATTTTTTTATAATCATCCACAGTATTCAATATACAGAATCCGTCTCAAATTCAATAAAATACTTCAATCGACTCCATTTTCCATACCACAGCATTGTTCATATACTAAACCTTAAAGGCAAGCACTAAACAATTCAAAATTCTAGTGTGCATAAAGTCATATCCTACATTCAAAACTACTTAATAAGTAAGAAAATGTCAAATCTGTAAAATATCAACAACTACGATGATAATAATTAGTATTAGAACTATACCTGACACTGCAATTGAGTCTTCACAACATCCAGAGGCGTCGTAACAGCGGCAGCCAAGGCTCCCGCCACAGCACCGGCAGTGGCATGCACAATTAACCGTTCATCATCAACACTCTCGGGCGAGACCTCCATGAGACCACGTTTTGCGGCCTCATAGGTCGTGAAATGCACAGCTGTGAAAGGGGCGTTCATCAACACAGTAGTCCTATAAGAGGCGTAGAACGCTCGAAACCCTTCCTCGCTCATAACCCTTCTCACACAATCCCAAACCCCCTTGTACCCACTATTCCCCAGCTGCAGCCTCTGCTTCACCATGTCCATCGGCGTAAACACGGCATCGCTGGCCACGGTGGCGCAGACACCAGAGGCCGCGTGTGCGGCAGCGTTGTTAGGGTTCCCCTCTGATAAACGCTTCTTGCAGGTCTCGTAGACAGAGAAATAGACGGCATGGGCCGGGCCAGCGCCAAGGCCCATTGCGCCTATTCCTCGGTAAAGGGCGGATGGTCCCTCAGATTGGAGAATAGACTTCAGGGCCTGACGGACAGTGCCGGTTTTGACCGGGCATGAACCCAAGGCCTGCATGCGGGTCTTAACGGTGTCAACGGGAAACATCGCCATGTGCTCGACACAGCCGGCAACAGATCCGGCTATCATGAACTGCCAGAAGTGGAGACCGTCGTGAGTTGACACCTTTAGGTCCGCGTGAAAATCGGGGCGGAAATCTGCGTTCTGGAACTTCGCCCTAGCATCCGTCGCCATTGAAGAAATCAAGAAACCAAAAGAAAAAATTCAATAAATTAAAAATTAAAGTGATTAGGGTAAGAGGGTATGGTTTTAGGGTTTTCTTGTGTCATAAAAGGTTGTTGCTGACAATAATGAATTGGGAAGGTGATGAGTGTGAGAAGAAAGAAAGATACTTTCTTTGCAGTTTCTCAACTGGTAATGGATGATAAGAGAATTGGGAAGTCTAAGATGGTGGGTGGATTCAATATTGCGTTCAGGACTTTGTATATGCTATAATTTGATAAGTTTATTTACATATATTGGTTAGGGTTCCAATTTTTTGGGAAAGTGAATTTTTTTTTTTATTGTCCACCTAATTGGAAAAAATTTTTACCTTTGGTAAATTATGGTACTATGTTTGTCATCTTCTATCTTATTTATTAGATTAATTTATCTTTAAAAAGTTTCTTTTCATCTTTGTGAACCAATTTTATCCTTTTGAAACTCTTGTCGTTTATAATTTGTTATCATAATTTTTATAACATATCATAAATGTTTTAATTTAAATAATTTTTATTTTATGCTTATAAACATTAAATGAAACTTTTCCAGTGAACAAATATTTATATAAATAAATAAATAATGTTATATGAATCTGAAGTGGTCCATAATCTTATAAAATTTTAACCCACTACATATACGAGTATTAGATAATTTAAGATAGAAGATTAGGTGTAAAAACAATTGAAAATATCACAATCTATTACTCCTAGAGAGATAAAAAATGTTTGGTCAACGAAAATAATTGATTGACAAAAATATCGATTAAAATTTCTGAAGGAAGGAAAGAAAGAGAACCAAAGTTTTTAAAAGGGAGTTAGTAGTTGAATTGATAAAAAAAATGGTTCAAACCTGATTAAATCTATAGTAATTAAATGTGTATTTGTTAAATTATGCATATAAAGTTATAATGAATTAAGGTATACAATATATATATATATATATATATATATATATATTACTAAATTATACCCTTCATTAGAAAAACTAATAATAATTGATTATTTTAAATATACATTTTTATTTATTTTCATTGTTTAAGCTAAACTAAAAATACAAAAATTTTTGTTTTAGAGTAATTTTCATGGACTTTTTTAACAAACTACTTTATATACAAACAAGTGAAATCATTACTGGTGCAATCTGATATTTAAAATGGTGAAGAAAACTAAATATATATATATATATATATATATTACTAAATTATACCCTTCATTAGAAAAACTAATAATAATTGATTATTTTAAATATACATTTTTATTTATTTTCATTGTTTAAGCTAAACTAAAAATACAAAAATTTTTGTTTTAGAGTAATTTTCATGGACTTTTTTAACAAACTACTTTATATACAAACAAGTGAAATCATTACTGGTGCAATCTGATATTTAAAATGGTGAAGAAAACTAAATATATGACGAATAAAAGATAATATACAACAACAACAAAAATAAAGAAAAATAGTAAACTAATAAAATGGTTTATTTACATAAGTTTCTATATATCATGACGTATAAGCTACAGAAGTCTCTATTGTTCCTCTGGAATTTCAATATCTCACAGACTCTGCATCTTCTTCCACTCCCACATAAAGACCTTTTATATATTAAATTGGATCAATAAAAAGTATCTTTTAGCAAGTACTACTGGGATTTTAGATACCTTGATTTGTGAGATTGTGAGATCCGAAAATTTCTTTTTTCATATAATATTAGACATATGTTTCTGCTATATCAGAATAAATGCTAAAGTGAAAAAGAACACAGTTTTCAATAGAGTATTCCTAAGGTATATGCTGCAACTGTATTAACTGTAAAAAGCAAAAAACTGACCTCAGTGGATATGGATTCTATATTTGCACCACTTACGTGACAACAAGAGTATATGAATATGCAAATTATCAATCTTTCTAAAGTTTGAGATTGGACACAATTTGAGGTTGTTTCAACTATGTTTAAAGAGTTTTTTCTCCTACCAATGTAGTCCTAAGTTTGAGGAATATATTGTCTTAGACATCACTTCCAATGCCTTATAAATGTGCAATTTTTGCCTTATCAACATCACTGTTTTATTTCTGAGTGTAGCAAATGATTCAAACTCTTGTATCAGCTTCTGCAATGTGTTGCCGATGAAGTGGTCTTTTATAATACCTCAAAACTCCTATTCTACTATATCCCATGGTATTTGAGTTATAAGGTAAGTCTAACACTTTTAGAATATTCATATTACAATTTACTTAGAATAAAAAATAGAAGGTGTAGGTAAAAAATAAATATTAAAAGTCATTTTATAGAATTATGTGTAATTTTTCTCTGTTTTTTTCTAACAATTTTTCAAAAAACATTTAAGCTTTTAATACCATATTGAAGTCTTAACAGTAAAGAAAATTATTAGAGTAATTACAGAATAAATTTTAATTGAACACTGGTAAGGCAAAATTATATTAGATAAAAGATATGGTATATTTTCGCACAATAAAAATTAATTTCCAAAAGTTAGTTGTTTTTATAGATTATAGTAAGTGTTTATATTCACATATTATAAAAAATAATTTATTTTAATTAAAAAATAATAAATGATATTTAAGAAAAAAACCACTCAAATTCTAAGAGTATTTTAGTCGTGACAAATTAACCTGCTGAAGACATGATAACTGTAGCATATGGACTAAAAATATAAGTATATGTATGTATATACTAAAAGAATAAATTTAAACACACTCTACAAGTTGACATGTGATTAGATATGATGTTAACATTTAATAATATCTGTTTCTAACACATGTTACTCTCTCATTATTTAAAAAAATAATTAAAAGATATTATCTTATACTTCATTAATTTATTTATATTATACATTATTAATTATTTATTATAATAATTATAATAATTATAATAATTTCACTTAATAAATCTATAATTAATACAATTTAAACAGTCAAAAAAATAAAAACTTTTCAAACGTCAAACAAACAAAACACAAAACTAACTAAAAGAAAAAATTTAAACACACTTCACAAGTTGACCTGTATGATATTATCATTCCACAAGTTGACCTGTATGTGTATTTCTAACACCTGACACTCTTTCATTAACTCATACAAAAAGTTATAAAAGATATTCTTTTATAAATAATTAATATATTAATTTATATATTATAATTATTAATTATGCTAATAATAATAATTTCAGTTAATGAGTAGTTTTAATTTAATTTTAATAAAAATAAATATGAATTCAGTTATAAAGATGACTAATATAAAATAACTCATTTTAGTAATTAATTTAATGTTATGTATTTACTTTAAATTACCAATTTCCTATTATAAATTTAAATTATTTCATTTGATGCAATGACACTATTATGTAACTGAAATTTTTAACCAAAAAGAAGTAATTAACTAATATAATAAATTGTAATAATATTTTTTAATTTAATTTATAATAAATAATTTAAGCTAAAATTTAATTTCAACCAAAAAGAAATAATGAACTAATATAATAAATTGTAATAATAGTTTTAATTTCAATTTATATTTAATACTTTAAGCTAAAACTTAATAATTTTTAAATTTCAATTAATAATATAATAATTTTGAAATCATATAATAAATTATAATATTAGTTTTAATTTAATTTTAATAAAAAATATAAATTAAGATATAAAGATGTTTAATGATAAAGTAAAAAATTGAAAATGTAACATATGTATTAATAATATTATTTTGTGAAATTATATAAATTTAAAGAATAATTAAATATTAATATAATTTTATATTTTTTTATCATTTTACTTTATTTTACTAATATTTTTATAAGGAAATAAAATAAAAATCGTAAATTAATTAAAATAGAATAGCTAACTAAAAAACTAATTTAAAGTTGAAAATTTGAATTAAAATGTTTAGTAATTGAATTAATTTTATATATTTAATATAAGTTAATAATTTCCTATTATAGATTTAAATTATATGACTTTAGACGATAACACTCTAATAAAAATGAAAAAATTTTATAAAAAAATTAGTAATTAACTAACATAAGAAATTGTAATAATCGATTTAATTTTAATAAAAGTAAATATGAATTGATATATAAATATGATTAAAGATAAAGAAACTAATTTTAGCAATGGATTTAATGCTGTTATATAGTAAGATATTTTATCTTATATTTATTACATAAAATATCTTAAACAGTTAAGATATTTATAAAACCACTAACCACATTTTTAGGTAAGGTGGTTATTTCTTATTTTGCTTATAAATACAGTAATAGGGCCAAGGTCCAGGTACGTTTTGGTCCAGGTACGTTCTCTTTATGCTCTAGAGACCCTGAATAATATTTCAGAGTAGTATCATAATCATTCCCTTGAGAGCTAAGGCTCCATAATTCACATCTGACTTGAGCGTCGGAGTATCTTTGCAGGTACCTCCCCTCCTTTGGCGAGTAGGAACAACAACAATTGGAGAAGAGCAAGCGTCCCAGACAGCCACGAGCAATAAAGACACACCGGACAAATGTACAAGTAATTAAATACTATAATAAATTATAATAGTAATTTTAATTTAATTATACTAAAAATAAATATGAACGAAGATGTAAATACTAATGATAAAGTAACTAATTTTAGTAATTGATTTAATTGTATATATTTAGTATGAATTACTAACTTTTTTTTATAAATTTAAATTATTTGACTAATGTGATGACACAATAATTTAAATGAAATTTTTCAAAAAAAAATTAATTAACTAATATAATAAATTGTAATAATAGTTTTAATTTAATTTTAATAAAAATCAAATATGAATTAAGATATAAAGATGATTAATGATAAAGTAAGAAATAACATCTATTGGTTAAGACAATCTATGCTTTAATACAGTATCTTCTATAAATCTGGACTTTCTAATGTTTTAATTTTTGAAAGTTTATCAAACAATGATAAACGAAATGAGCATTTGAAAAAATATTATCTTTATAAAATTAACATCGTATAATGAGAGACATCTTATGAAAAAACATTGTAATATCTGAATGTTTGAAGAAAAGGTTTTAGTAAACGCGGTGATATCTTAGTATACGCACTATCAAATTATACCCTCATAAAATAATGTGTTTTTTTTTGCTAAACAAGCTTTCATTATACCTTGCTAAATAATATGTTAAATGATGTTTTTGAAAAATGTGCTAAAAGCTATAAATAATACTCCAAAAACAAATGTGT